CTTTCATATTTCAATCCAGATGTGTAAAGACTGCTTCTGGCTTTTATCTTAAACTTAAGCACAATTTACTATCAACAACATCTACAGGCTGCCAAAATTGCTAATTTTCACTGTTAACATCACAGTGACTGCAGAACCTATATCTATTTACCTGTCTTTGAAGATATTTTTATTCCTTGACCAAATCTATTAGAAGATATATACAAACCAGGTTCCGTATGATCTTCAGCATTCTCCTACTTGAAACAAGAGTTGGTCACATGGGCCAGTTTCTAAGAAGAAGCTTAAAAACGCAGAAGACTGAGGTTTAAACACAGCACCCTCTTAACTGTAATACCTGGTCACTTACAATCAACCAGTTCCACTATAGATGGTTCTATTATGCAAAACATTTCTAGTGCCTTATTGAAAGAAAGTGTAAAGAAAGACATACATATGTAATTATTATGAAATACTGTTACTGAGACAGACAAACAAATATATACACTATTACAATACTATACATCCTATCACATTAATTTATACATCTTGGATTAGCGCGGAAGGAAGTTTGTTACATTCGGAACACTATTGTCTATTCGGGGATTTTTTTTTTATTCGGGCTTATTCCACTGAATCCATTGTATATTTTACGACCTTTTCTTTTCGATCTACCACAATTTTAATATTTATATTAGGCACAAAGTTAAAAAAAATAAGTAAATATTATGACAATGCGATGGTTGATTCCATACTTATTTAGTTGATATGAAAATACGCAACTACGTCTAAAGTCTGGTTTTCAGCTAAGTACAGCTATCGTTTATAAGATTCCTTCGAACCCCGGTCTAGCCGTGCATTTTCCCGCTCCTGTTACATTTGGTGCCGTGACCGAACCTTGTTCCAAGAATTATGTGAATGCTTAACAAGGGGATACCCAAACCTGAGTTGTTAGATGTGATGTCTTTGGGGGCAAAAACTAAAAATAAGGAGAGAGGAATGTAGCGGACCAGAGATGTTTTATAATTCTATTTAAGGATATCATGACTTAAACTATGGATGTTTGTAAATTAATTTATGGATGTCAACAATCACATTTATGGAAATTCATAATTTGATTTCAGGATATTCATCATTCAGCTTTGAATTGGGTTTTTTCAGTCCCAATGAATAATGTACAGCTAGGGGTGCCCACAGTTTTGCACAGTTACTTACATACACTAGTTTTTATTAATAATAATTTGTATTCCAGCACAATAAGGTGTATTCGTAAATAGAATACAGTAGTATCCGATATAGATAAACAATGCGCAAGGATAGCACCCTGTGGAACACCTGCTTTTAACCATAATCAGAAAAAAAAATCGATAATTTGAAAACTTTATCTACTGCTTTCATTGGCTGGCATCACCGTTACTCACATTTTGAAATCTTTGCACAGTGGATGATTTGACACATGAATAGATGATGATGATGATGATGATGATGATGATGATGATGATGATGATGACGACGACGACGACGACGACGACGACGACGACGACGACGACGACGAGGTTAATTTCCATAGATAGTTTTCAATTAACAAATGATCACTAGAAACATTGATTGATACCTATTATACTGTGTATGAATCTGTATTCTGTACTCCATGTTGTACTTATCTGATTTGTCCTAATACCGAAGGTTATAAAAACAAGAGAACTGAACAGTATATATAAGGTAAAATAGGCCATCAAGTCACCTTTACCAATCTACAGACTAATCAGTGTCACGCTATGGTGGTTTGATTTCTAAACCTCGTTCCCAGGATCGTCACGCTCGAGGGTACACATTCTCTCATAAAATGTCCATTTCAAACTTCATGAAAAAGAAATATTGAATAAGCAGTCATTTTTCATATATATGAATGTTCGCATATTTGATCACGGACTTAGATGTATTTCTTAAATCATTTAAAAACCCTACCTGTGTTATGTCTAATTGTTGAGAAAAGTCGAGTAGAAATGGTAATCATTCTATTATATGTAAACAGTTTCCGAATTAAGAGAGTAAAGTAAGTTAACAAAGAAAGATATGAATTAGAAGTAGTAAACTAAGGTTTCAACACGCCAGGTATCCCGGTTTGTGGTACCCCTATCCCAAACCGCCCCGCAGGTACAACTGACCCCTAGCCCCATCCGCCCCGGTATGTGGTACCAGGTTCTGCTGTCCCCATCCGCCCCGGTATGTGGTGCAAGGTTCTGCTGTCCCCACCCGCCCCGGTATGTGGTACCAGGTTCTGCTGCCCCATCCGCCCCGGTATGTGGTACAAGGTTTTGCTGTCCCCACCCGCCCCAGTATGTGGTATCAGGTTCCGTTATCCCCACCCGCCCCGGTATGTAATACCAGGCTCTGCTGTCCCCACCCACCCCGTTATGTGGTCTGAGGTTCCGCTGTCCCCAACCGCCCCGGTATGTGATACCAACCATATATATATATATATGTTTACCGGTATCATTTAAGATACCTGAAGAGACTGTCCACTTCAAGCTGAGGTGTATTAGATCGATGTGTATTGGACCGTGCATAGTTATCGTAGTGTTTGGTGGTCAGTGTCAAGGTGTGTATCAGATTATTTAGATAACGGTGAACTTCCCGCGCAAAATGATTGCGGTATATTGAAACTCTTGTTTCGAAGTGTATTCTAGCGTGGAGTCCAGTCTTAGATCAGGTTGAGATAATTATATCTCCACCGCAGCCTTCCACCGATCACATAGTATCCGTGTTGACATGTTATACCGGAGTCAGATAAACACACATTTTTTTTTTTTTTTTGCATACGATAATAATCTTTCATTTTTCTGATTTCCTCTATAACCCCGTACGAAATCAACCTAACATATACCTTTGTGACGTGATTCTTAAGTCCCCAAATACTGCACCTATCCTTTTCCTGATAATGCATTACCTACATACAAATTAAAAACGAAAACAAATCAATTTTATTTCATACACATATTTCATCCTATGTCATTAACAGATGTTTTCATCAGTCGTTCATCAGTGTGAACTTTAAAATAGAAACAGGTCATTGCCTCGTGGAAATATGTATAGGTCTTTGATTTGAAACTTCATATACGACAAACCCATCCAAAAGGACAGCCATCCTACTTCGGAAATCCATCAGCAGCAGTAGCAATACTTTGTTTGTAAACACCCTTTTACGTGTGTAGACCAATGTCTCGTGGGAAAACCAACTTTGTCAAAACTCTACTACAAATATGTTTGACCAATATGTCGCCGTCTCTACAAAGAACCGTATGCTTTACAAACGATGGCAGTCGTGGCCAGTCTCTTCAGGAATCTAAATGATACAGGTAAATATATACCTATGGCTGGAACCTGGTACCAAATACCGGTGTGGGTGGGGACAGCAGAACCAGGTATCGACATACCGGGGTGGGTGGTGATAACAAAATCTGGTACCACATACAGGAGCGGATGGGATAACAGAACCTAGTACTACATACCAGAGTGGGTGGGGATAACAGAATCTGGTACCACATACCGGGGAGGGTGGGGATAACAGAATCTGGCACCACATACCGGGGTGGGTGGGGATAACAAAATCTGGTACCACAAACCGGAGCAGGTGGGGATAACAAAATATGGTACTACATACCGGGCGGGTGGGGATAACGGAACCTGGTACCACCGGGGAGGGTGGGGATAACGGAACCTGGTACCACATACCGGGTCGGGTGGGGATAAATGAACCTTGTACCACATACCAGGGCAGGCGGGGATAACAGAACCTGGTACCACATACCGGGGCTGGTGGGGATAGGGGTCAGTTATACCCCGGGGCGGGTGGATACAGGGGTACCCGGTAACACAAACCGGGCGAGTTGAAACCTTAGTAAACTACTACTTGAATTAATTGAAAAGTAATCAGGTTCATATTGAAATTACCTTTTTCGCACACATTTAAACTTAACTTTTAGGCCTGTTCCAGTTAAGTAAGGCACTGACTTTTTTGGAAGCTTTTGAAAGGGTGCACAACTGGGTGCAGGGGATGGAGATGCATGACCGGGTGTTCTTATAATCAATTCACTATCCCAGGGGTGCAGAGATCGAAAGTGATCGTAACTCCTTGACTTTCGAGGATGTACGTCTTAACAGTACGGCCTTTCATCGGTTGATCATCACGGACTGAAGAAGAACCTATTTCCACGGAAGCTTAACGTTACAATAACCATCTTTTGGTGTACGACCTAGAACCGTATCGAGATGTTTATTAAGAATTATAAGTCTATGCTTTTACATTTAGGCGAAGACCATTGACACATAAAATCAGAGGCCCACTTTCTTACTGTGAATATTTGAATACTAATTCCGTGACCAATGACAGATTCTGCGGAGTTCCGATGGAGAACCGACACGAGTTATCTCCCTTGTTCTTTTATATGTAAATCACATTCCAATATCGACAGTTCATATATGAATATCAATTAATAGTGACTTTTTAAACTTTCACTTTCCCTACTCTTGGTCCCTACTGTTGTGTCCTTTTGGGACTAGTCAGAAAAAAACAGAATGGCTTACCTGTGGCCATCTCAGATTTTGTCAGTGAAAGTTTATTATCACTAGAAAACTTAATTAGTGAAGAGAGAAATTTCGTGGTCCGACTCATGTACACAAGATGGGAGCTCTTCGTGTTTGTGGTCATATATGGACATGGACTTACAGATACTACATATATAAGTCCGTGTATGAATATACATTTTGTACGTGGTGTAAATAATCAACTTTTTTCACTTCAAATAATCTGTAAATAGAATATTACGTCATCCTTCTGTCATGGTAAACAAGAGACGGCGAACCAGGGGCAATGTGGTAGCTCCGTCAGATATATATTCTACACCTAAGACGATTACCCGCCAACTGACGACACGGCTTTGTGACAAATGTTTTCATTGGCTTTCACGATACTGCAACTAAAAATATAAGCCAATCACTGTCCAGCTAACTGTTAGGTCTCTTCCACCATATTTCCCTCGTGTTCAGCACACTGAAAGGGTGAGACTGTTTTTTTTCTGATTATCACAATATTGTCATGTTTGTCTGATTACAGTCTTTCATTTAAACTTTTAATACGTATTATATTTCGTATTTTTAGTAGTCACGTAATGAATGACCCACGTTTTTACTGTTTTACCGGAGATCGCACTACACATGTAAATGGTGTCGTGAATGATGGATTGGTGGGAGAAAGAATGCGGCAAAGCGATAGGCTTCAGACGGACTTTTGTCAGTGAAATAGCCTAGCCTTAGGTCAAGTCATGTTGGTTTTAAGCCTAATGAAAAAGAATATTAATATACCTTTAATCACTCGTGCAATGACATGGAATGTGCAATCAATGTGTTGAATTGCCCGCAGCGGCACCGGAGGTATATCGGTTTTGTACCAACACTTGCATGTCATAATGATATAGAATATAATGATTGAAACGAAGTAAGACAACTGATTAAAATATAGGTTAATAACAGAATAACACATTTTCAGCCTTCAGAAAATTGACCTTAAGTAATGATTGATACACATGTCGTTGAGGACACCATCCAGTTGAGATTGACTCATACTCAGTCTAGTAATTTGTTATTAATACTTGGTAGTGTGTTTGTTACAACTACCTAATTCCTTGTATTAGAGCATTGCTGGAGATAACCACGCAGACGGTGATTTCACACTTATCTGTATACCAGTATCAGTTGTACACAGGTTTGCAATATGAAATGTCAGTTTTGTTTACGAAAATTGAGCAAAATCTACCCAACATTTCATTTATCTATTAGTTTCATGTTGTGACAGTAAATTATTGTTAAGTTGACAAACATGATGGAAAAGTACACTATTCCATTCATTGGTTGGTTTGTGGATGTATTAAATTGAATTAATATTCACATGCCATATTCAGAAACAAGATTTGCTAGTAGACATCACATGTGATCTTTCATAGATGCCATGTGTTTTGTCTCATGATTAGCAAATTTGATTGAAAATGTGATATTACATTAAGTATGGGCTATTTCATCAATCATGATTGTTACAGTAATATACCTATATGGTGTTAATACATTTAAGTAATTATATTTGCACTTTGTAGCTTGAAACAACGCAATATAATTTAAATGTTGTCATAACTGCAACATTGCCGCTCAAGTCACTACTGACAAACACCAGTGCTGTGCTGAAATATTTAATAATCACTGACTAAACCTTATACAGTCAAACTTGTGTTAAAGGTTTCCTTTATACAAAGGCACCCACCTATCTATACAGGCAAATTTTTTGGTTTCCTATGTAAGGCAATTAATGGTAATTGTACCTCTATATAAAGGTCACCTACGTATAATGGCCTCTTTTCTCTGCTCCCTTGAGTGGCCTCAATTGACGGGTTTGATATATATCACATGTAACTACACACAGTTAAAATCCGTACCATAACTGAAGTATGATGAAGGTAAGCACTTGTAAAGTAGAAGAATAGAGGAAGAGAAGAGGCTTGTCTTGTGTACCATATGAAAACTCTAATGCACTGTAAAAACAATCTGATCATTTAAATGCACTAATAGCAAACCCTATTTATGAAGGCAGTATTTATATTCAAAGTAAATTTAATCTGTGGAATAGGATAAATGTTGCCTGTGTTACAAAATGTAGGGTTATTGCAAAAAAAAATTCATAATTTCAGGCAATGTAACACATCTTTTCTTTCAATGTCTGCTATATGTATTATCAAACCTTAGGCCTGTGGCTTACCTCAGTCTTACTGCATTGAAGGCAGTTTACCAACAGGGATAATTATAAAGAGAACGTCTCTCAAATTAAGTGTTTCAAATGGTTAGTATTTTACCAGGGTGACATTTCAGGGCTCTCAATCAGCCAGATTTGGGGCCGAATATTCCCAATGCAAAATAGTATCTTTTTTTTTTCCCAATTTAGACCCCAAGTTTTCCCAATTCTAAGGAAAACACTGCTATTTTTCCTAATTCTAAGGGCCCTGGGCCCCAGTCCCAAAATAGGGTGTGAGAGCACTGCATTTCTGATCAAGCAGGATATCAACCTTTTGGTACATGCATTGAAATGATTACAATGATCCGATTGATCACATATTGGAGTCACTTTAACATTTTTAACACTTGGATTACTTTTATGTATTTACAGGTAAACAAAACATCAACATGGCTGATCCAGAAGGGTATGTAGAATTTGTTAAAAATCTGTATTTAAATTCAGTAAATTCGCTTTTGCCTTAAGTACTGGAAAATATGTGATGGAGTTAATTATAGCTAGGTCATACAGATATCATTCAATCGCTGCAGGATAAAAAATATCACTTTTAATAATGACATCCTAAAATTGATCAGAACAAGGTAAAATATTAAACATTGTTCAAATGTTCATAGAATGTACAAAAAATTAATTTGGTAAAATTTATTTGACAGAAAAGCAGCTGAGGCTGTAGAAGAAGTTGAAGATGTTGAAGAAGTTGAAGAGGAAGAAGGTGGAGGTAAGAATATTATTATTGTAATGTTCCTAGAGTGAAGATATGGTCAGGTCCTTTTTAATTCATGATTTATTCCTTCAGAATGTTGTTGACATGTTTACATACATCTGACCATGGTTGTCTTTACTCTAGGAATCTTATTCTACTTTATTTAACCCTTTTGGCGCCGTAGGTGACTAAGACGACATGCAGACAGGCTGCAATAGACGTCTTTGGTCGACAATTTTTATATCTTTATTATTAGCTTGTTTCAGTAATGCTGCCATTGTTTTCAGATATTTTCCGGAAAATATTTGGCGCTAAGCTGTACATTGTAAGAGATATTTGGTGCTGAGCTGTACATTGTAAGAGATAATTGGCGCTGAAAGGGTTAATGAGGACTTCGTATACATGACAGTTCCCAAACATTGCCCATGGTTAAGCATAATCACAAAACTTCAAGACCCACAAAGTGTTATTTGCAGAGTTATTGCCTTTTGTTAAAATTTTATGTCTGAAGCATAACATTGTTTGCTACTAGGGAAATGTATACATGTATACACAGAGGCGATGTACAATGGTCATACTAAGGTGTTGTGCAGTGTACCTCAGTCAGGGTCCACAACCCCATAATTACAAAGTTATTGCTCTATGTTAAAAGTTTGTATCTTAAACATTATTGTATTTTTTAATTGATGCCAGTGAAACTTGCAACTTATTACAGTTATTACAACATCAGGTTGTTTTTATTCTCAGTATTTCCACTGGGTGCTGTCAGATAACTGGTTTTAAAGTTCTCTCCATTTTCGTATTTGAGCAGATGCTACTTTGTTGTTCCTGAACCATATTTGAGGATGAATGTGAGGTAAAGCAGTTTTGTTGAGTATTTTCAAGAATCACAAAATGATCATGTCATGTCAGCCTACCATTGCTGTTACAGATGCTGTAAATAACTCTCCCCCAGGACTGGTAGGTCTGTTGAAGAGTCCACAGGTTCTAGCGGCTGTACAGGAGAGGTTGGATTATCTTCAGGGTGCTCCTTCAGGTTACATACAAAGGTAAAAATCAAGAGAAAATATGACACTTTTAACTTCCAATACAAATTTGTTAAGCTATGAGCAAATTTCTACATTTGCATTCAAAATGGGTATGTAGACAATGTAGACATCAAACAGATAGTTCATCAGTAGAAGTTTTCTTTAATTTCAGTTTACCCAAATCAGTCAAACGTAGAATCAAAGCCTTGAAGAAACTGCAGTTCGAAGCAGCCAAGATAGAGGCAGAATTCTACAAAGAGGTGCATGACCTGGAGTGCAAATATGCATCGTTATACACGCCTCTCTTTGACAAGGTAGGGAAAGAAAAATGTTAATCAAGGTGGTTTTTAGTCCAGTTTAGTTGTTAAAATAGTGTTGAAACTTTCGTTAAAGCATTGAAGTTGAAATCTGGATAAAAGTAGTGTTGAAACATTTGTTAAAGCATTGAAGTTGAAATCTGGATATGTTTCTCTTGTTTGCAATGGTCATTTGCGAAAGGAAACTTTTTACATTGCATCAATAATCACACATATCAACAGTTTATATATAGTTGGTATTATTTGGGGGGAAGAATAGTTTTAGTGTACTTTGCTTAAACATTGTTATACTTACAAAGTGGGACAGGCGAAACTTCTTAATTACTGGTAATTCTGTTGTTTGCAGAGGAAAGAAGTGGTGACGGCAGCAAAGGAACCAACAGATGAAGAATGTGACTGGCCCAGTGATGACGAAAAGGAAGAGAAAGATGATGTAAAATTAGCTGTTAGTTCTTATCAACAATTGGACCATGTTGTGTTGAGTGGATGGTCCTTGTGACGAGTGAAATATTTTAACAGATATACTGTTTAGTGGGTTATTTCAACAATCAAAGCATAATGAAAAGTAGAGTTGATACCTGGAACAATTTATTTAGTAGTTTTTCAACAACTGTATACTATTTGTAAAACTTATCTGTATGGTTACAAGTACAGGTCTGCCCATCCAACATGGTCAATAGTGTTATGATTTAGTGTAGTAAAGGAGGAAATCGGAGAAGCAACTACTTCATTTCAATATTTGTTTTTTAAAAAAAACATCAACAATAAAGATATTTTGTTGTAAAATTTAGATATAAAAGAAAGCAAGAAAGGTCATGCCAGTTTTACCTACCATGATTTGATAAATGAATTAGTTGCAGGGCTCTCACACCCCATTTTGGGACTGGGGCCCGGGGCCCTTAGAATTGGGAAAAATAATGGTATTTTCCTTAAAATTGGGAAAACTTGGGGTCTAAATTTGGAAAAAAAAGATAATATTTTGCACCGGGAATGGGGCCGATAAATCTGGCAGATCGAGAGCCCTGAGCTTTTACAAAGCAAAGAAAGCAAAAAGTATTTCTTCACTGAATTCCTCTATTTAAAGTTACTGGTAAACAAATAATTTACAGAAAACTTTTTTAAAAAAATTGAATTTTTCACACCTGCCTCCATTCCTCTTCCTAAATTACACGACAGATTTCAAAATTTGCCTTGATTTCTGGGTTTTATCGAAAAAGAATTTTCTAGACAAAGAGACAATGTATATAAATTCATTATAATCATCAGTCTGCTGTATTAAGAGTATTGGACTGTGCATATCTCCATGTAGACATTTTTAAATGCTTCATAACCTGATGAAACAACACATTTTGGATTGAAAATAATGAGGATACTTTCTTTTCTGCAGGACGATGTTAAGAACAAAGTCAAAATTGATGATGCTGAAAAGGCAGAGGGGAAGACAGACAGTGAGTTTTTTCTCTCTAGAAACAGACTTTTTTTCTGTCTAATTTCAAGGGCATTTTCACTTTTCTGAAATTCATTACACAAATTGATATAAATATAATTTTTAAAAAATGGTGTGATTTTCAGATGAAGGTGCGGATGTCAAAGGAATTCCTGGTTTCTGGTTAACTGTGTTCAAGAATGTGGAAATGCTTTCCGAGATGATTCAGGTAAATGTTCTTCTTGTTTTATCATTTCATGTAATAGTTCAGTTGATGTTTGAACAGTACAAATACCAACATTGCTCACCGAAAGCTTCTGGATGCTAACTCTATTATTTTATTTTGTCTGGATGTACAGTAAGCTTCTAAAGAAAAATGTAAAGTGTGAATATTTCCAGGAATCATGTTTCATTTATACACCTGTCAAAATTTTGACTAGACCTTTTTAGTTTGACGACATCCGTAAGCTTTTATTTATGCTGTGATTTCCTCCCACCAATTTCTACTAGCAGTAGGCTTCATCACCATGACATGAAGTTGTTTTCCTGAATGACAGTCTTATTCCATTGTATTTGACAGAGTTACTGTCCCTTGTTGTTTTATAATGTTAATCTTGTCTAGAGATCTCCTATCTCAGTTTTCAGTCAATTTCTTTCAAACATGGTAGGCTTAATTACCATGACATGAAGTTGTGTTTTCCTGTATGGCACTTTGATTTAATACATTTTATTGGAATTTATGTTATTTTCAATACAAAAAATCTTGATTTTTTTTTTTGGCATAAGACGGGCATATAACGTTTCGCTCTACTATACTATTGTATTTGTTATTTTAACAGTTAAAATTCATTAAAAAAATTCTTGGCCTCTCTGAAGCTATTTGAAAATCAAAAGGAAGGACCCATTTACATATATGATGTAAAATGATTACCTTGTGTCAATCCTACCTGGTTATGTAGTTTTGGAATGCAGAATTGGTGGACAAAAAAAATTGTCATTTTGACTGAAATTACAAAGTACTTTAAAAGTTGCTATCATCATGTAGTTCTAATTTTCATTGTTGTGTTTCACATCACAAAAAAATAGTTTTAAGTGAGAGTAACGTCCCAGGTACATATTTACTGTATTAATGAGTTTTATGCTACATCTAGATTCTGATTTTTAACCAAGTTATGTCAGGATATAGAAAGATTTGCATATTTAACTGAAACCTGCAAATACAACTTTGAAAATTTTATTTTCACTAACCTGTGGAAGTAGGATTTTCCCAGCCAATGTAGAGTCATATAGTTTGTTAGATTTGATATTTCTGCACATCAATATCACAAAAATGGATCCTGGAAAATAAAAATTACTTGAGGGAAAAAATTTAGTCCAGCGAAAAAACATCTTTTACGGTATGTATACTAAATGATGCACTCTATTCTTTGTATATTGAAAGTCGCAAGTAACTGATTTGAATTTATTTTACAACAGGATCATGATGAACCTATACTTAACTGTCTACAGGATGTAAAAGTTAAGTTTTCTGAAGTAGAATCAACTATGGTGAGTGTATACAATTTTAGCAATGTATTTAACATAATCTTTCTGGTCCAGTTTAGATTAAGATGATATTAAAGAATCTCATCCCTCTTATTGGTGCACTTCCTTAACATTGTTATCCATTTTTAATGCTTGTTTCTGTCATGAAGATTTGAAACATTTTCAGAGAATGTTTATAAATTGTGTTAGAACAGTGGTTATTATGCATGCTTGATTGAAAATACAATTTTGTAGAGTTAAAGCTACTGTTTTTTTTTTTTTTTTCATTGTGCAGTGAAAGTTGTGTATTCAAACTTCTTCTCTTTTACTTCTTGCAGGGGTTTGTTCTGGAATTTTATTTTGAAACAAATGACTTTTTCACAAACACTGTTTTAACTAAACACTATACAATGAAATCAGAGCCAGATGAAACAGACCCGTTTTCTTTCGAGGGCCCAGAGATTGTGAAATGTGAGGGGTAAGTAACTTAAAGTTTAGCATACAATTATGTTAACTTTCTCATAACATATTATTCTGCTAAGATATTATCTGGAAGTATAAGTTTGTTTATCTCCATATGAACAGCCCAGGTCATATTTATCTCCACATGAACAGCCCAGGTCATATTTATCTCCATATGAACAGCCCAGGTCATATTTATCTCCACAGCTCAGGTCATATTTATCTCCACATGAACAGCCAAGGTCATATTTATCTCCACATGACAGCCAAGGTCATATTTATCTCAACATGATAGCCCAGGTCATATTTATCTCAACATGAACAGCCCAGGTCATCTTCATCTCTAAATGACAGCCCAGGTCATATTTATCTCCACATGAACGGCCTATGTCATATTTATCTCCACATGACAGCCCAGGTCATATTTATCTCCACATGAACGGCCGAGGTCATCTTCATCTCTATATGACAGCCCAGGTCATATTTATCTCCACATGAACGGCCTATGTCATATTTATCTCCACATGACAGCCCAGGTCATATTTATCTCCACATGGAACGGCCCAGGTCATATTTATCTCCACATGACAGCCGAGGTCATATATATCTCCACATGACAGCCAAGGTCATATTTATCTCCACATGAACGGCCCAGGTCATATATATCTCCACATGACAGCCCAGGTCATATTTATCTCCACATGACAGCCAAGGTCATATTTATCTCCACATGAACGGCCCAGGTCATATTTATCTCCACATGACAGCCAAGGTCATATTTATCTCCACATGACAGCCCAGGTCATATTTATCTCCACATGACAGCCCAGGTCATATTTATCTCCACATGAACGGCCCAGGTCATATTTATCTGCACATGACAGCCAAGGTCATATTTATCTCCACATGAACGGCCTATGTCATATTTATCTCTATATGACAGCCCAGGTGGAAATGGCAGGGTCTCCTGTTAGTAGTTTGTTGCTAACTTACTGAACCACACAGAAGTCCTGTCGCTATTAGGAGCAATTAGGGTAGAGTGGCTAGTCAAAGACAACCATAACAGCTCAAACAAGTCTGTTTCATGGTTTTCTGAGAATCAACAACAGGCAAAGGTATAGAGCTTCAAACCATTAAGCTGCCACTCTAGAAACCGTGCTTTGACAGCCCCTAAATAGAAAATAGTACTGTGTTCAATAGGGTTGTCATGGTACTGATAATTTGACAATAGGATTTATCATTCAGTTTAATAATAAAAGTAGTTGTATATGAAGAAGGGAATTATAAGTTAATTTTCTCATTTTGCTTTCGCATTACTTTCCAGTCTTGCCAAATACTAGTTTCTGTATTTTTGACAAATTTATGAAAATGCTAGTGGTATTTTTCAAAATCAATACATTAATATTTTCACTTCTTGTAAAAAAAGTCCAAGAATAAATATGACAAATCCTAAATTTCACTGTCATAGATATGGTCTTTGTATTTCAGATGTCAAATAGATTGGAAAAAAGGCAAAAATGTTACAGTAAAAACCATAAAAAAGAAACAAAAGCACAAAGGACGTGGTACAACACGGACAGTCACGAAAACAGTACAGAATGATTCATTCTTCAACTTCTTTTCACCTCCCACAGGTTTGTATTGTACAGAAGGGTCGGACTTGTCTACTACTCAGACTGACCTTCATTTTATTTTTCCTTTCCTGTTTAAAGTTTGCGATATGCTTGAGTCAGTCTACCAGTCAGTAGGCAAAAATCTGTATGACTCTTCATGCAAAATATTCATAATTTTTTCCAAGGAGTTGCTAACTTTTCTCTGTGTTCATACAAAACCAATTTTGTGGAACTTCTGTCAGTGAATTTTGTCTAAACATTAGTGGCTTTGACAGATGAAGTAAAGTTCTTTTGTTTTTTTCACCATATGTATATTAAATTTCAAATATGTTTTGCATTAACATTAGATTTCAAAAATATTATTTTCGAATCACTCTGCATCAATGACTTCGGCCCTTACAATTCTTGTTGTCACTATTTCATGAAAAGTATATTGAACATATTTTGTTGTAATTGTTATTTTTCCAATCATTGCTTTGAAATAAACAAAAAGTTAAATTAGGTATGAATTCTGAAATAGTCGTGCACATACAGTTAAAATTAAGCCCTATGAAAGGCCCTTATTTTTCACCACAAGTGGCTTGAAAGCCTGCACATAGCAAAAATCTTATCCATTTTGATATTTTTTTTTAATATTTCAAAACAGTTGTATTTTATACAAGTTAGCATATATATTTTGTTTTACAGTTTTCAATTGTAATCAGACTTAAAATGTTGTGTTTTTCAGTACCAGAGGGAGAAGAAGAAGATATGGTTAGTATATCTTCGGTCTATACTGATTACAGGGTTTATAAACACTAAACCTATATCTATTCTATAATCTCTGGGTGATCTTTTTCTGCTGTAATGACCAAAAGTTTATGTTTACTGTTCTGGTCGCAGCAGTTTGGATGTCCTTTTCTATTTAATATTCTTTAATTTTCAATTTTGCTTTTGCGTTTTGTCTTTGTCCATTTCCATGGGTTGTCCATCGACACTTAATTTTGGGGAAAATTTGAAAATTGGAAGATGGCCATCATGCCATCTCATTGGCTTAGACTTTAGGCATTGACAATAAAGTTTATACGAATACTCAATTTGATATAACTACCAAAACCTCATTTCCAATTCTAAACTGACGTTTGATTGAATTCCTTAATTTCCTTCTTCTAAGTTCTGTCTCTGATTAGTAAAGGTATTCCGCATTACCAGAACAGACTACATTTTTTTACTTGTTTGGCACAAGAATTCTGAATGAGATTTGAAACCCTTTGTCGCTATTTTGGTCACCACTTTTGAAATGCAAGCAGACAAATTAATATGGAATATGCTACAATACTGTTTTATACATATTTGGCGTTAAGCAATGTAGTAAATAGGCTAATCAGTGGCATGTGAATGTTAAAGTCCCTAGGAAGAGGGTGGGGATGCTATCACTTTATATTTGTGTTTATTGTGGCTCAGGTTGTGTCTCTTAGAGGAACTAGGAATTTGACAGGGATTATCCTGTAGGGAGTCGAGGGGTCATTGGCCCTCGGAAATGTAACTGACTCCTCCATGTTTCTTTTTTTTTTTTTCCCAATTTAACATAGAATGGCCCATCTTAATTCCTACAGTGACTGAAATTTGCTTAAAATGACATGTTACTCTTGGCTCCCAAGATTTTAAATGATTGGGTGAAGAAAACTTTTTGTAGATCTTCATGATGTACCATGAAAATGCTTGTATCTCACCCTATATATTATTCAGGATGAAGATCTGGAGGCATTGTTAGCAGCCGACTTTGAAATTGGTCATTTTATACGAGACCGGATAGTGCCACGGGCAGTTTTATATTTCACTGGGGAAGCTCTAGAGAATGATGATGATGTGAGTATTTTTTGTGTGCATGTGTTAAAACTTTCATAGTATAGATGCAGAGATGATTCTTTTCATTTCAAATTTGGAATTGGTGCTAGTTTTTAGCCTTGCTGATGAAGATTGTGAAGTTTGAAAAGTTTGTAGTATTTAGGCAAGTGTTCACTAATATTACAAAGGATAGTTATCAACTAGTTATTTCATTTTTTTAAAGTTTCACAACTTTTATTTTATGTGCAGTGGGACCTTAAAACATCGGAAGTATGTTAATATCACAATGGCTTATTCCAGAATTAATTGTGTGTTAGGTGTTTAATGGCAAACTCTTTTACATCCAGCAAATTTTCATAAAACAAAATAGTTTGTAATCTGCATATTTCACATCCTCAGACCTGTGTATTTTTGGTAAAATTGCCTGACAATCCTCCATGCAACTGATTGTGGAATTAGCCTTGAAAAGATGTTGGTTGACCTTTTGGGTTGGAGGGAGGGCAGCATGGCTTTCTTGATTAGTGTTTTATGTATCTCCTGTAGTGTAGAGAGTTCTGTTGTCAAACTGTTCCTTTAATCTGAAGATTAAATATTCATGAATTTTGAATTCTGTGTTTGAAAAGATATTTTGATCTGGTCCAAAACTTAGTGGATAAGATATTGTAATGAGATAGTCAAATGTTATAAATAATTTTTTTTCAATAATTCTGGTTCAACTGAAATCTGTGGTTTATAATACTTTCCAATGCAATGAATTGGTTATCCAGGGATCAATCTAGGGTTATTGTACTTCTGGTATTGGATAGTTTACCCTAGCAGTTAAAGTACCCTCTTACAGATTGTTCACCTTGAATCTTACAAGATATTCTCCTATTTTACATAAACTACCAATTTGCTCTTTGAATTTCCCCTATTTCAAACAAATGACATTTTGTTTTTTCAATTTGATTGTTTTTGTCATGAATATGATGGATCTTGCATATTTTCTGTTTTTAAAAGTATCTTGCATTATTCCAAAGTTGTTTGAACAGTCAGTCACAATGCTGAAAAACTTGAATGGTTTTCAGCTGAGGCATCTTCCTGAAGCGCTCAGGAACCTAGGCTGTTTTTCCCCTCTATATCCTAGATCGATCCCAGATATCTTAGTATGGACATCAAACTTGATAAATCATAAAAAACAAAAAAAAAGAAAATCTATACTTGCTACTTTCCTTATTTTGTAGAAGTTGATGTTTTGTATCTTGTCGTCGTGAATATTTTCTGACCTGTTTGTGAATTTTGTTTTTGTTTTCAGTTTGATGAAGAAGGAGAAGAGGAGGTAACTTTTATACTAAAATCACAGCCATTGTCCTATCTTTCATTGATAGTTCAATAGAAATGGAAAATATTTTTTTTTATTATATAAGATTTAATTTTTAAAATTATGATTAAATGAAAATTTCTATCACAGCTCATCCACTAATACTGGTCCTCTGATCCAGTGACTTTTGCAAATTTAAAATGCATTTTGGATACAACTTTAAATAATGTATTCATTGATCCATTTAATTCTAAATTCTGTCCCTTGATCACAAAATGAAACTTTAAATGCTGGTACCACTCATGGCTATTCACGGCCTTCTCTTTCCTTAGCCATTGTTTTATTTTTTCATTTGCATGGCTCTTTTGTGGTAGTGTTCCCATTTCCCACTGTTGTCAGTGATGCTGTTTAAAAAAAAATTAAAAAATAGGATGGCGGGAATTACAAAGAATTTTATAGAATTGTCATTCATTGGTTTTCTTTAAGGATAAGGATATATAAAAGTTATTTTTGTTTTAAAAAAAGATAGCCATATCCTATTTTTGCCAGTGAAATACAAGTTTTATAGGGAAAGTATAAGATGGGTTGTTTGTAGTATGAATAAAAATGGTTTGTATGGTTAGATGAAGCATATATATAACAGTATTCTTTGGTTTGGTATTTTTTGTGATGGGAACGAACTGATGTTAGTTCAAGGTAGGTACAAACGGTGATATCTTTGTATGCAGGAAAACTCTGTCAGTTAAATAGTATTAACATTTTTGCTCCATTTTAGCTATAACATCAAGAAATCAAGAATGTTATTTTATAGATTCTGACTTTCAGTAGTCTTGATTATAAGATGTTCAGTAAAAGTAATCTGAAGACCTTTTTAAGTTACTAAATTGTTATTACTAGTCTTGAAATTTTAAGGAATTTCTATATAGTTAAGCTCACAGTTATTGGTGTTTTACGAAGTTCTTTGTGAAGCCAGCGTTAAATCAACCCCAGGCCATTTACTGTTAGTGACTGTTTACCATTTGTCTGTTTAGGATGGCGAGGAAGGAGAGTATGATGAGGATGCAGATCCTGATTACAATCCACAGGTAAATTGATGTGACCTCTCTTGTGTCATATGCACATGCTTCCGTGCATGTGCATTACATACACACAGGTAAATTGATAAAACTTACGGCTCTGGATGATTGTCCTCCGCATGGTGAATGGTTTTAGTGATGTAGACGGAACCTCCTTGGTTGGTAATATCTGATATTATACAGAATGATATGAATGATCTAAGTTTTCTTTAAACTAAAAAAAAAATTGCACCAAGAGTAATTACCATACTTTTCCAAAAGCCATTCATTGCTTTCCATTTAGTTTCTTACGTAAAATGTTTATAATAATAATGATAAATGTTATGAGTGTTTTGTTACTGAAGACAAGCAACAGATAGATGTAGTAACAGTAGAGACTAAATTGATATATCCTAATATCAAAATATTTCATTTAACAAAAATCAAAATAAATATTTTTGATCAGTTTTTGACATAAAGTATTGATACATAAAATTGCAGAGGGGTGGGGATTATCTCATAATAGTTGTAAACTAATATTTATGTTCCCATCTGTATCAGGTACAGAAAATTAAGTCATCCTTTCTCACCATTAAAGGATAAATCGTTATATAACTTGTATGATATCCTCGATAGTTTGATAAAAGCTTAAATCTTTAATTGAAAATTGATGCTCATATTTTGTATGATACATTGATCTGTTATCTATATATTGTTGTAATCGTTATCCTTTAAATAATATACCTTTGTTATTGGTCTAGAAGATTTTATGAAGATCTAGCAGACAATATTTATTAGTCCACCACTAGGAACTGGAGGGGACTATAGTTCTCCACTAGGAACTGGAGGGGACTACAGTCCTCCACTAGGAACTGGAGGAGACTAGTCCTCCACTAGGAACTGGAGGGGACTATAGTCCTCCACTAGGAACTGGAGGATACTTTAGTTCTCCACTAGGAACTGAGGGGACTATAGTCCTCCACTAGGAACTGGAGGATACTTTAGTTCTCCACTAGGAACTGGAGGGGACTATAGTCCTCCCACTAGGAACTGGAGGGGACTATAGTCCTCCACTAGGAACTGGAGGATACTTTAGTTCTCCACTAGGAACTGGAGGGGACTATAGTCCTCCACTAGGAACTGGAGGATACTTTAGTTCTCCACTAGGAACTGAGGGGACTATAGTCCTCCACTAGGAACTGGAGGATACTTTAGTTCTCCACTAGGAACTGGAGGGGACTATAGTCCTCCCACTAGGAACTGGAGGGGACTATAGTCCTCCACTAGGAACTGGAGGATACTTTAGTTCTCCACTAGGAACTGGAGGAGACTAGTCCTCTACTAGGAACTGGAGGATACTTTAGTTCTCCACTAGGAACTGGAGGGGACTATAGTCCTCCACTAGGAACTGAGGGGACTATAGTTCTCCACTAGGAACTGGAGGATACTTTAGTTCTCCACTAGGAACTGGAGGGGACTATAGTCCTCCACTAGGAACTGAGGGGACTATAGTTCTCCACTAGGAACTGGAGGATACTTTAGTTCTCCACTAGGAACTGGAGGGGACTAGTCCTCTACTAGGAACTGGAGGGGACTATAGTCCTCCACTAGAAACTGGAGGAGACTAGTCCTCCACTAGGAACTGGAGGGGACAATAGTCCTCCACTAGGAACTGGACGGGACTATAGTCCTACACTAGGAACTGGAGGGGACTATAGTTTTGCATTGTGTCGTCTGTCCTTCTATCATCTTGTCTGGGCCCTATCTTCTACATTACTAACTATGGGAACTTTATACTAGTGACATTGGTTCACTTTGATCAGAGGATGTGTCACATATAAAAGTAGGTCGCTGACCTATATTTTGACCTTGATCAAGAACATGTTGGTGCAGGTCATATCTTCTGCACTACTGATTATGGGAACTTAATACTTGGGATATGGTTTCACAGAAGTGGATTTGTCACCTGTCAAAAATAGGTCACTTTGACCTACATTTTGTCCTTTGACATACATCAAAGAAAACATTTGACTGTGTTCTATCTCCTGCTATACTAGTCATTGGATCTATCTACTTAGTTTATGGGTTCACCTTGTGTCAGTGGGAGACTGAATTTCGCTATCTATCATCTCATTTTAAATATTAGCACATTTACTTCAGTGAATGTGTGCACAAGTGATATTTCAAAGTATAAGCTTTCCATTCATAATTTCACACATTGAATTAATTCAAAGTATCTGCTTTCTTTTCACAATTTCACTCACCAATTTAGTTTAAAGTAACAACTTTCAGTTTTACACACTGAATTAGTCTTCAATATCGACTATCAATGCACCATTTGATCTACTTTGAATATGTTGGGATGAGCAGCACTATTGCCAACCTTCTGAGAATTTGTCTACATCATTGGGGTTCTCCTGTTGTGTTGTATGTTCTGCATGGGGAGAGTATGTATGGTAGCACCACTGTTATTGTTGTTGTCTGTTTATTTACCTACACCAAATGTTAATCATTTCTATTCCTCTTTTGGTGTACACAATGTGCACTGGACAAAAATGTTTTTGAGAGTGAAAACATTAAATACCCTGATCACATGTCAAAGTTTGTGAAATGTCTGTTGTCAGAGTTGAATTATACACAACTGTATTATCGTTGATCTTGGAAAGTTGTACTTATTGTGTTTGAAATGTTAATATGAATTTCTGTTGGATAAAGGATTACAGTGTTGTGCTATGCTCTATATGAATGGTTCCACACCCTGAATGAGTGGTTAACAGGTTACTTGAATCTGTCCCACCCTGACCTGAATCATTGTAATCACTGTAGAGATCTCATTCATGTCATTACCGCAGATAAATTAATGTTTGAGGACAAAGGTCACTATTACTATTTGTAGAAAAAAAAACAGCTGATTCAATTATATCACTTTTGTGACTTAAGATCTGAAGGATTTTGATCAAATTAAACACAAAAAATTTGGATACTTTTTTCCTCCCCCTTTCATAAAGCATATATCTATTAATTTGGTAGCATCAGAAATAGTTGCTTTGGTGTTGGGTCAATATTTACACTTTAGTATAAAGGTAAGATCATTGTGCGAGTCCTGTAGCTCATTGATTTATTCACAAACATTTTTCAGCACCCGCAATGGGAGTGTGATACACAGAGTGCTCATTCTGTGACTCCAGACAGCTGGAGAAAACAATGTTCATTTGCATTTGCGACGGTTTGTTTTTAAATCTTCCCACTCTCATGAACCTTTGATTTTTTTTATCCACTAAAAACCATTTTTAAAGAGAAAAACTGAATGTCTACCCTACTTGGTCAATTTCAAAACCTCAAGTATCTTATAAGAGTATTTACAAACAGTATTCAGCAGTCTGCAATGCCTTAAACTCTTTATATCACTGAAGCTGTAGATTTAAAAGTATAGAATGTTGAAAATTTTACTTAAGATATTTTTTTCTTGCCAATGTACAACATTCTGTAAAGAAACGGGACATCGGCCACATCACCAATTACAGATCATATGAAGTAAATGTAACTTTCTACAGTGGGAAATATATACTGATTTCAAAGATGGACAGTCATTACAAATTTCAGAATTACTGAACCTGTTCTATCATTTATTAATGATTATTATTAGCAATTGTTTTGGAGTTCTACTTAATGTTTATGATGAACTTAAATGGAGCATCTAGATCCAAATTTTTAAGGGACAAAGGGAATGTGATGTGATCTCCATTCATTAAAAAACGTACTTGAGACTTTGAATTGAAGCATTCCTGGCCGTTGATCATGGTGCTATGGTACCGATAATTGTTTTCATATGAGTTTTTCACTCCCTTCTTGTAGCAGTGCACACAAAAAAGATAAATCTAAGTTGGAGTAGTCTCCCCTTATCCACAGTATGCAAAGATATATGGATATTGGGTTAGCTCTGGTGTTGTGTGATAATCGTTAATAATGATTAACTTACTATACTTCCTGGAATACACATGGTGTTTATATTGCAAAGGCATTTACTTTATGGATTGATACAACAGGAATTTTAGATATATAGTAGATAACAGCGTTCTTGATACTCAAGGGATTACGATCACTTTCATTGTCTGCACTCTTGGAACATGTCATGGCAAAATTGAAGGTTCCATGTGTGACATGTGGACAAAACTAAAAGACTGGTTTGAATCTTTGATGAACATCAAAGGAATCTCGAAGTCATATAACAGTATATTGTAATGGCTATGAAGTTGGGTGTCTCTCCTTTGTCATCTTCAAAAGGAGCGTATCAGCCTGTGATTGGTCCGGGGTTTTTTTGACTGGAACCAATCACTTGTGCTTTCAATTTGTCATGGCGTGTTCTAGGGATACAGAGAGTGATTTTAATACCTGAAGTATTGAGAATAAGGATATAGGTAGTAGTATTTCTATTTAAAAAGATAAGCATATTAACACTATGTATGATACCATCAACATGACATTTATTACAAAATAAATCATTCAAATCAATACTAGTGCTGAAATATCAGTGTTACAAGGAAGAGAGCAGAAAGTCAATTTACATGTAATTGTAGTGTGTAACTTCCAAAATGTTGGTCTTGGATCTAATCAGAAATCAAAATGGTCGACAGGGAGCAATCTTCAATTTAGACAATGAAAGATTGTTATTGTTATTTCATCAAGTATGGCATGGATCTCTTTACAGATCTTTCTCGACATTTCATTTAGTGGTGTCCCTTGGCACCTGGTTGTGCCTTGGTGGTTTGGGGTTTGTTAGCAACAAAAATGGCTGACAGACCACCATATTGGATTTGGCAGTTAAAGATTACCAATGTTATTATTTAAGAAGATTTTTTATATTATATATAATTAAGTGCAAGGGCAGGAGAGATTAGACTAGATCTAACTGGCCAAATGAAGGTCAAACAATGGTGGGAACCAAGATCCTCTGGGATCTCTTATTCTATATTGTCTTGAAAAGAGAAAAAAAATAGTCATGTAAAATGAGAAATTTTTAAGCCATTTAGTTATTTGCAGAATTTATCATTTTGATACGTGAATTACATTTGTACATTGCCTACTGCTGCATCATTTCAAAATAGTTTCTCCAAGTCTTCTTACCCTCCAACAGTTCACATATTTTCCCCCCAGTCTCTTTCATTTCCCTCAAGGCCATCAGATTTCCAGGGGTTTTAGGGTGCAGTGTGTTCTGTAAGGTTTCCTGTTTTCCTGTTTAACCTTATTGATAGTTGCTCAGTGATGCATAACTGTGTGGTTGATGTGACCCCCTTTCTCTGTCATGTCACTGTTAATGAGTGCTGCCGGCTCCTTTAACAATCCCTGCATGAATGTGTCTGTTCAGTGTGTGCAGTCACCTTGTAATTGTCAATACCAGATTTTTATTGTGTGAGTGATGGAATCTGTACAATTGAATGAATGTGTAAATGCTTGCAACATGAAGTCAAATATAAACTGGACTGTTATTAATGACAGGATTTCACAAGATTGAGTTGTGAAAAGAACTTTTTTACTCCCTGTTTTATGTAGTAATTGAAGAACTATATTTGAGATGTGGCTTGAATGGATAATGTGAAATAGGTCTTTTAATTTTGTACAACCATTTACCCATGAACGCAAAGAAATATTATGTCATTTTGTTGATTAGAATCTGCAATGTCATATTCCTTGCAAAGATGTTGATAACAGACTTCAATTAACCTTATCTCTGTTTCTTTTGCAGGCTGATTCTCAAAAACCAGAAGAGTGCAAACAACAGTGATTTTTATATCTGTGAAAGAAAAAAAAACAAATGATATCCTGGAGTCTTGATCGAAATTTTCTGGAAATAGTGATGACAAAAAAAAAAAAGAACAAAGGAAAATGACTAAACGAAAAAAGAAACTCTTCTGTGATGCAAGATAGTGTTGGCTATGAAGAACTGGTTATTACCTTTGCTAGTGCTGAATGACCTTCACCCGTGTTTAATTTGACCTTGGCTTATAGTGTGTTTTGGCTGGTGTACCAGCTGTTTCTGCTGTTGTGAATACCGCCTCCATGGCCCACCTTGCCTCACATGATAGCCTGTACTTGTCTCTCCATAGCTCTTTATTTAATCTTTTTTTTTACCCAATTTTCTTATTACCAGATGGCAGTACGGAAATCGATTAGCATTTCATTCTGTATTTAGTTGAATTTATCGGTTTATGAACACGTTGCAGCAAATATGTTTGAAAAAATTGGTAGTGAATTCCTACAAATGTGAAGACAATTTAGGATGTTTTGAAAAGGATTACGGGAAGGTTGCATAATTGATCACATAAACCTCCTGATGTGATACAGTATTTGTTTGTTTGTGTTAAAATAGTTGCAATATAGCAGGACGTTAGGCATTGGGAACATCAGACTTTACAACTGGTTTATTGGTGTATAGATCTTATCATAATGTATTTTCTTACATAACTCATACAAGTTGAGAAAAAGAATGTTTCATGCAGTTACTGTGCGTAAAACATTGATTTATTTTTGTGAAGATTTTGTTGTATTGTTTGGTGTAATCACGGATTTGTGCCCAGTTCTGTGTGTCTGTGTGATGACATGTACTTTGGAATGAAAGACTAGATGCACATTCTTAATTGCTGTTTGATATTTAGAAGAAACAGATCTTAAATTCTTAAATTTTATTGTAACAAGTCTTATTTCACTCATGTCAATATAGTAAATATGTCCACTACCATTGAAGTATATGGGACATTCCAAAATTAAGTGCTTAGGAAAGGTTGGAGGTAATTTTTCTGAACACTTAGAGGTATTAACTAAGAAAACTACCAGTAAGCGAGAGAGAGAAAAGAAATACTCAGTTAGATCTATATAATAAATTAATACCGTTTTTTTGTTTGTAAGATCTCTGATATTGAAGATACCATGTTTATCAAAAACAGAAAATTACTTTCATGCACAAAATTTTTGTCTTTCGTTGTGAAAATATTTTCATGGTTCTAGCATTTTGGAACACGATTAAGGGAAACAGAAAAATTTCTTGCCTTTGATATATAAGTAATTATGGAATAAGCCCTTATTTGTTAATGTGTTTGTGCTCTTACTTTGGTCTGTTTCATGTATAGTGATGTACTTTATGTTAAACATTACAGTAATCATGTTTATATGAAACATTGCGGTAATTGCATGATGTACTTTATATGAAATTTTTCAGTAATTGTGTGGTCTCTGATGCCACGTAACTTCAAAAACACTTCAGTTATTACTTGTCATTTTATATATTTTCAAGAATTATTGCTTTCAAACGTATCTACACATGGAACTTTTTAGTTCTAGAGAAATGTTGTGGTCCATTTGCAGTTTGCCTTACCTGTTTGACTTTGTGTTCCACTACTGGCTCTTGACATATCTTTCCTGTATATATATTCATTGATCATAACACTGTGGTTAAATTGCAGATCAGTATGGAAGTCATACATCAAAAACGAGTGTAAAAGTCGATACTCCAAAATCATGCAGAATATTTTAAAGATAATATGCAAGATTTCTGCTTTGCTGCAATTCATTATGTCTTTAAGTAATTCATTTTATACAAAGATGATCATGAGAACAAAAAAAAAAGTCATATTTTGTTTAAAATCGTTCATCTGCTCAGTATTCAACATACTGTAGATTTCTACAGTGTTTTACCAGTACAGCTGATCCTAGTCTAAGACCAGGTGATGACCTCCCGTTTGGTTGTAAAAGTAAGATATCTGTCTGAAGAGGAAAGTCATTCTTTGGTTATAGGATCGGAACATTTAATTTGTCATTTAAAAATCTAGGATGCATTTGGATTTTTTGTTTGTTTTTTTAAAAAGTGCTTCATTAGATCTGATTGTTCTTAGTTCTTGGTTCTTTTTTGTGTATCAGAATTCAGTAACTATCACTTTCAGATCATTTTAATTAGGTGCATGTACATGGAAAATAGAAGTGATTGGTGGATAATTCTCATGGCTAGTCATAACTCTCTAGAAAATAAGGATTTAATCCAACAGCAGTTTTCTCGTCAGCTGAACAATCGTGTTTTGTGATATTTTTGCGTGGTGAATTAGAGTAGAGAGAACTACAACTGGAAACTGGGACCAGCAAACTTGTACTGTGTTTAGAGAATCAAAACTTCACAAAAAGAAGATACACAGTGTATTCAAAATGGTTAACAGTTCCACAAGTTTGCTACCTGTTCTGTACGACATTGAAAATATTAATCCACTGCAGTGTAAAGTCAGAGATCGGTGATCTTTCATGGTGTAAAATTCTCCTAGTTCGGTCACTGCAAAAGAACTGGAAGCAGATCCCTAGGACTGTTATGCTAACAGGAATTACTTATAAGGGATTGCCATCCTTTAACTTCAGTATGTACATCAGCTGTTAAAACCTTTTTTTGTTTTGTGGTTTCTTTAAGCTAAATGGTGATCACTTTCTAGGCAATGTTGCATAAACAAGTGGATACAAAATGGGCTGATGTTTTCATTTTTATAAATGGAATGATAAAGATTTCTCCATCTTCAAGAATGTTTTGTCATAGTTTGGTACTTTCCACATCTTGAAGCTTCTTTCGATCATGATAATTATTGATACTTTGGTTATTCCTGTTTTTTTTTTTTATTTGTAATTAACTGTTATCAAGGAAATGAAATATAGCTTGCAGTTGTGAGATCTGTATCAAGCTTCTATTTGAAGTATTAAGAAATGAGAAGTAAAGAAGATATATGAATGTTTCTGTATTTAAAACCTTCATGTCCTCATCTTGTTGGTATGAGGTTCAAAACAAATTAAAAAGAAACAAATCAAAACAATAAACGAAACCAAAAAGATCCAAGGATCATATTGGCTGTGTAGTAAAATTTTGTAGGCATGTAATCTGAGAACTGTTTTATGGAGAAAGCATTTAGGTACTGGTATTCGCCTGATCTCTGTTTATGCATCCACGTGCCTGAAGTTTGCTTTTAAGTACACAGAGTTTGTCTAACGTAACATCAACCATGTAAAATGTCTTCATTTATACATTATCCACGGGAAAAAATGTCAACAGTTAATGACAATTGATTTTTTTTTCTCTCATTTTTTACATCCTTGTTATGATGAAATGTAATTCAAACAATGGTACTTTTTGTATATATTCAAATGTAATGTATTGGTTTTGTTCAGTTTGTTCATTCTCATAATAGTGTTTTTTTTTGTACGTGAGATATATTTATCGTGCTAATTTAATCATCAGGGATTTGTAATCGACCGTCTTGTCACAGACACCTCCTGTCGTTACATTTAGTATGTCGTAATGGCAATAGTCATTGAGTAGAAGCCCTGTGTTGATAGAGATCAAAAAAAGGAGAGAAAGATTTTTGTTGAGAAAGATCTCTTCTACCTTAATGAATTGGCTTGTAGTTTGGATTGAAGTGCGAAAAGAAAAGATAAAGTGATCCATTCCTTAATCATATATATATGATAAATAATTCTGAAACACACTGACTAACAGCAATGCTGTTCTGTGTAAATTAGTATTTTATAATTATGCCTTTTTAGAAAAAATGATCGGAGCAGTATCTTGTAAGGAAGACATTATGATGCACAACCTCATGAACTTTTGCTATCACAACAGTGTATTGTCTTTACTTGGTAATGTTCCTGAAGTGTTATACATAGGGTATGGTGAGCAGTCAGGGGGCACTATATATGTAATATTGCTGAAGAGCAATAAAGTCAATGAAATGCTTGTTTTAAATCAGTGTTCAAATATAGCATGTTATCTACACTGGAATCTTGTTGTGTTGCTTAGTAATGTACATCAGGCAGTTATCATTTGGATGATGACAAGTTATGTTTACAGCTATTTAATATTTTGAAAAAAATAAATAAGTTGTTTACTGAATTTGATATTTGGGAAAGGATGATCAAGGTACAATGTTAAAAATTGTATCACGAAAAGTTTCTGGCCATTATTATTAAAATATCAAAACACTCCTTATGTTGTCATGTCATATTTTCATTGCATTACAACAATTGCTAAAAATTGTTTTGAATACCATGTACAATGTACTAAAACCAGAGCACCATATACTATATACCAGTACAGGAGTACTATATACTATATACCAGTACAGGAGTACTATATACTATATACCAGTACAGGAGTACCATATACTATATACCTGTACAGGTGTACCATATACTATATACCTGTACAGGAGTACCATATACTATATACCTGTACAGGAGTACCATATACTATATACCTGTACAGGAGTACCATATACTATATACCTGTACAGGAGTACCATATACTATATACCTGTACAGGAGTACCATATACTATATACATGTACAGGAGTACTATATACTATATACCTGTACAGGAGTACCATATACTAAATAGCTGTACAGGAGTACCATATACTATATACCTGTACAGGAGTACCATATACTATATACCTGTACAGGAGTACCATATACTATATACCTGTACAGGAGTACTATATACCTGTACAGGAGTACCATATACTATATACCTGTACAGGAGTACCATATACTATATACCAGTACAGGAGTACCATATACTATATACCTGTACAGGTGTACCATATACCTGTACATACTATATACCTGTACCTATATACTATATACCTGTACAGGTGTACCATATACTATATACCATATACCATATATATATACCTGTACAGGAGTACCATATACTATATACCTGTACAGGAGTACCATATACTATATACCTGTACAGGTGTACCATATACTATATACCTGTACAGGAGTACCATATACTATATACCTGTACAGGAGTACCCTGTACAGGAGTACCATATACTATATACCTGTACAGGAGTACCATATACTATATACCTGTACAGGTGTACCATATACTATATACCTTAACAGGAGTACTATATAATATATACCTGTACAGGAGTACCATATGATATGTACCAGGTACAGGAATACTATGTAGTATGTTCCAGGTACAGAAATACCATATGATATGTACCAGGTACAGGAATACCATGGGATATGTACCAGGTATAGGAATACCATGTGATATGTACCAGGTACAAGAATACCATGCGATATGTACCAGGTACAGGAATACCATGCGATATGTACCAGGTACAGGAAGATCATGTGGTATGTTCCAGGTACAGGAATACCATGTGATATGTACCAGGTACAGGAATACCATGTGATATGTACCAGGTACAGGAATACCATGCGATATGTACCAGGTACAGGAATACCATGCGATATGTACCAGGTACAGGAATACCATGTGATATATACCAAGTACAGGAATACCATGTGATATGTACCAGGTACAGGAACACCTTGTGATATGTACCAGGTACAGGAACACCTTGTGATATGTACCAGGTACACGAATACCATATGATATGTACCAGGTACAGGAATACATTGCGATATGTACCAGGTACAGGAATACCATGAGATATATACCAGGAACAGGAATACCACATGATATTTACCAGGTACAGGAATACCATGTGATATGTACCAGGTACAGGAATACTATGTAGTATATTCCAGGTACAGAAATACCATGTGATATGTACTAGATACAGGAATACAATGTGATATGTACCAGGTACAGGAATACCATGGGATATGTACCAGGTACAGGAATACCGTGTGATATGTACCAGTTACAGGAATACCATGTGATATGTACCAGTTACAGGAATACCATGTGATATGTACCAGGTACAGGAATACCTTGTGATATGTACCAGTTACAGGAATACCATGTGATATGTACCAGGTACAGGAATACCTTGTGATATGTACCAGTTACAGGAATACCATGTGATATGTACCAGGTACAGGAATACCTTGTGATATGTACCAGGTACAGGAATATCATCTGATATGTACCAGGTACAGGAATACCATGTGATATGTACAAGGTACAGGAATACCATGTGATATGTACAAGGTACAGGAATACATTATGCCATGACAGCAGCACCATACTGTGTACCATTACAAAAATATCGTGTACAGTGATTCAGAATTCATTTAAATCACTACTTGGGATATTTATCTTTCGTGATAGCTGTATCTCTCGTTACGTTAGCATTAGACAGCCGTCATGTTACGTTATGACTTGACAGCGTTAATAATATGACGTCACTACTTTTCCACTTTACTAACGTTATATTGTACATCAGATACTTTTTATCATGTTACGTCTCTGTTAAACTGTTAACCACGGTGAGTCACTGCTCGAAATTGTGTATAATGTTGTCGCACTACTTGACAGTGCTGAACATGTTACCTTTCGATAATGTTAATGACGTAACATTACCTATGTCAGTGATAATCACTTCACGTCACCACTAGACAGTGTTTATCAGGTCATGCCATCTCAGATCAGTTGTAATAATGCTACGTCACCACTAAGCAATGTTAATCATGTTATGTCACATCTCGATATTGTTAATTAAGTGACGTCACCTCTTTACAGTGTGTATGACGTTACGTCGCAACTTGACAGTATCAATGACCTGATGCTACCTCGCTATAATGACGATGACGTTATGTTACCTCTTTACAGTGTTTATGACGTTACGTCACCTCTTAACAGAATTTATGACGTAACGTCACCTCTTAACAGCGTCAATGACGTCACACCACCTCTCGACCATGTAACTGACATTACGAGACAAAACAACGTGTAAGGTCTCCTCTTAACAGTGATTATCACGTTACATTACTACATGACAGTATTAAGGACGTTAAGTCACCTCTCAATAGTTTTACTAACATGACTTCATCTCTCGACAATGTTCATGACGTTACGTCACCTTCCGACAAGGTTAGTGGTCACCTCTCGACAGTGTTAACGACGTTACGTCACCTCTTCACAGAATTGATGACGTAACGTCACCTCTCGACAGTGTTAATAACGTAACGTCACCTCTTCACCGTCTTAACGACGTTACGTCACCCAATCACAGTATTAACTACTATACGTAACATCTTCAGTGTTAACGACGTTACCTCTTCACAGAATTGACGACGTAACATTCATTCATTACAAGACGTTACGTTATTTATCATGATTACGTCATAATCAGACAACACCGTTTATATCTTTTTGTCATCACCATTACGTCATATGAAAATATGTCAACGTCACAGAATTGTTAGGTCATCGGTCAGGCAAACAGCGAATTGTTAGCGTATCATTCGGATGAAATTATCTCCGCTAACCTAGTCTGAAGAATAGTTGGGAGAAATAAAGAGAAAACTTAAAATTTCTTCTTCCAATGAAATGAAAAATATTTTATTTTTCTTAATTGACGGTGATGTGCCGCATTTGGGGTCCGAGAGACGTTGTTCAACAGGTGAAACATACAAAAAAAAGTTTTGAAATCTTTCTACCTTTGTAGGAATGCCAACAACTTGTCCGAATTCTGTTTGAAATATTTTTTGGGGGACAAAAAATCCAATTACAGCTGTCCTACTGTTTGGCTGTGTGTGATTTGTGTTGACGAGCTGAAGAATGTGTGAAGTCATATCAGAATAATATCACTTCAGGGATGTGATATTACTTCAGGGTGTATGGAATCACTTCAGAGGTTGTGCGATATTAATTCAGTTTGTGATATCAATTCAGTGTTTGATATCACTTCAGGGTGTGTGATATCAATTCAGGGATGTGATATCTCTTCAGGGATGTGATATTACTTCAGGGTGTGTGATATCACTTCAGGGTGTATCACTTCAAGGTGTCCTATCACTTAAATTAGGGTGTGTGATATCACTTCAGGGTTTCTGAAATTACTTCAGGTGTGTGATATCACTTCAGGGGTTTGATATCACTTCAGGGATGTTATATCACTTCAGGGGTGTGATATCACTTGAGGGTGTGTGAAATCACTTAAGGGTGTGTGATATCACTTCAGGGTGTGTGATAACACTTCAGGGGTGTGATATAACATTACGGGTGTGTGATATCACTTCAGGTTGTGTGATAACACTTCAGGGGTGTGATATAACATTACGGGTGTGTGATATCACTTCAGAGGGTGTGTAATATCACTTCAGGGTGTGTTATAATCACTTTAGAGGGTGTGTGATATAACATCAGGGGTGTGTGATATCACTTCAGGGTGTGTGATATCAGTTCAGGGATGTGATTTGACTTCAGGGTGTGTGATATCACTTCAAGGTGTGAGATATCACTTCAGGGTATTTGATATCACTTCAGGGGTTTGATATCACTTCAGGGTGTGTGATATTACTTCAGGGTGTGTGATATCACTTCAGGGGTGTGATATCACTTCAGGGTGTTTGATATCACTTCAGGGGTGTGATATCATTTCAGGGTGTGTGATATCACTTCAGGGGTGTGATATCACTTCAGGGTGTGTGATATCACTTCAGGGTGTGATATCACTTCAGGGTTCGTGAAATTACTTCAGGTGTGTGATATCACTTCAGGGCATTTGATATCTCTTTAGGGTGTTGAAAATCATTTGAGGGTGTGTGATATCAATTCAGGATGTGTGCTATCACTTCAGAGGGTGTGTGATATCACGTCAATGGTGTGATATTCCTTCAGGGGGATGATATCTCTTCAGGGGTTTGATATCACTTGAGGGTGTGTGAAATCACTTCATGGTGTGTGATATCACTTCAGGGTTTGTGAAATTACTTCAGGTGTGTGATATCACTTCAGGTGTTTGATATCACTTCAGGTTTGGTGATATCACTTTAGGGTGTGTGATATTATTTCAGGGTGTGTGATATCACTTCAGGGTGTGTGATATCACTTCATGGTGTGTGATATCACTTTAGGGAGTGTTATATCACTTCAGGGTGTGTGATATCACTTCAGGGTGTGTGATATCACTTCAGGGTGTGTGATATCACTTCAGGGTGTGTGATATCACTTCAGGGTGTGTGATATCACTTCAGGGTGTTTGATATCACTT